ATATTATGTTAAATTTTTTTTACACACAGATATCAAAATACCACTATAATTATGGTGGATGCATACTTATGATATATTATGATATAATCATCATCAATTCCTGTCATATTTTCAAACTGTGTTAAGCTTGAAAAAAAGGGGACTGGACGTACACTATCAAACCAGAAGTGACCCAGCAAAGTGTAAAGAATGTAAGAAAGTAAAGGTAATTCCCCTTGACAATGAATTGTCAGCCCAGTGATAAACAACATGGCCTAGCAGATGTTCAAATAAATATCTGCCGCGCAGATATGTGGCGACCGCACAAGCGATATATGTCTGCATAAGAGGCCATCGGCCTTCTTAGAAACATTCATGTGAGGCGTATTCGCGTGAATGACACTCCATTAAGCCAGACATTTGTCGAAAAAGACAGGCTATGGAGCGAAATTGTAGGTCCGTAACATGCGAGATTTTTTAGAGGCAGTGTCGTACGAGACGGCCGAGGCGACGGAAAAATTAACGTATTTTCACTGAGTACGATGAGCTACTGTTACAACATCAAAAATAACGATGATTGACCGCTTCAGTCTAAAGTTTTTATCTAAAGTTTATCGTTCATGCACCTTAGATGTCCATATGACTACCGTAAATACCTATTGTCGCAATAAAATCATGTGAGAACTCTCGCTTACAGATAATTTACTCTTCGGAGACTTACATGTTTATTCTTCATTTTTGTAGGAACAACTATCTAGAAAGATTATGTTGACCGAATGTAGAGTAACTTAACAATTATGTGTAGTTTCTGCGAATAGTCGTCTCTAAACAAATCAAACTGTATTTCGTTTCGATTTTGTTTAGCGTTTTCCACGAAACTAACGTTTGCAATTCATAACGTTGTCATACATCATGAAAGTTTTGCGCTTGCTTTTCTTTTGAATTCTTTCAATTTTATAACAGGAGTATACAAATACAGTACGTTAGAGAGGATTAAGACTCATCAACATAATTATACGGAGTACACTATGTAAGATGCTAATGGGTGTTTCCACTGGGGATCCGTTCGCCTTGTGCGACAAGCGTGTATCCTAACAATGAAAAATATCCTGAATAACAGTACTACGCAGTAAATTCTAAAAGCTAGGAATGGAAGTGATTAAGTGATTCCTCGATGACGAACTCGATGGGTCATTCGACAATGCACAATAAATAGCAGGAGCTAGAAAAGAAAATGTATATACTTCTGTGATATGTAGCAATCAGGAAAGCTGAGTGAAAGCTAAAACTGCTACGAATAGTAGAATAAGTGAACGGGATATGTGCTTTAACAGAAAAGGAAAAATAATCGGATACTGTGCAGAAGCATATACGTGTTAGCCCTCTTTCTTACGACACATGGCGACAAACAACAGTTAGTCATAAAACATAATAATAATAAAAACAGTGAATATAACCCTACTAGCGAGGATAGAAGACCATGAAAAGTGCGCTGCATACATAAGCATGCACCTAAATGACATTCTGAATAGAAGCAAATATATATATACTTACGGATATAAATGCAAACAAAAAATAAGAATAGTATAGAAAAAAAAACAGGTTCGTCTACGCAGAAAGACTATACATTGACAATTCTATAGTTGCGATACACTAAACACTATGATATTAAAAGGAGAAGACGGTGATGACAAGGAAGCGAATCTATTAATCAAACTAGTTCTCCTGAACCCCATGTGAGATTTTTCTACGAAAAAGACATTTATTGACGTATATTGACGTCAGTGGAAACGATACGGCGTGTAGACTTCGAGTCAGGAGGTTGCTATTTGAACTGAGAATGTCCGGTTCAGATGGTGAACCAGGCAGAAAAGAGCCTTGAGAATGCAGTAGTCTAGGAGAACTATTCCAAGTAATGCGCGTCGTAGTTAAGGCATCAAGCTGGCAAATCTTTGCTTGCTAAAGAAGGGGTATTCCTACAAAAGAGAAGAGCATATAGAAACAGCATATATGACACCATATAAATTTAAGTATACAACCGTATACTGACTTACTTCGTGTGCTTCACCTATTCTTGTGTTTCTTCAAATAATGATTATTCGTGCTATTCTAATTAATATTAATTCTAATAATTATTGATATTATTATTATTATCATAACGTGGTGATCAAGTTGGTGGAATTTGGCAACGCCGACAAATGCCAACCTGAAAAAAAGATGTCGGAAACTTACGTAGCATATCAATGGCCCATACAATTCTGCCTAGCAGCGATCAGTTCTACCAGTAGCAAGGCTAGCCCATATGTTCGACACGCAGTTGATTGTCAACGGTAGGCGCATATTTCAATGACAAAAAAATATTCAGGCAGACAGAAAGACGCATTCGAATGAAAAATAGTCGTCATAATTATACGACAATTATACATAAAAATGTTAGAAAAGAATGAACGTTTGTACTGTTTTGTATATATGATCCAATGGTGTTTAGGTTAGGTTACTACCAAATAATTTAGCCAGTAACAAATTTTAGTGAATAAAAAATAAACTTGTCTTTTATACAAAAGGACTGACTTTTTACTCATAGAGATATTTACTTTAGTATATTATAATAATGTCAATCACCGAGAATTTGTTCTAAATGCATAAACTCGATCCCTTTAGTAACTAAACAACTCGATGCATTTAATTAACGCAAAGCTTACTCTTGTTTGCTCAAATATCTTCCGGTAAATAGTTCAGACCGTTCGGCACTGTAGGATTTCAATAGAAATATCTTAAAGCGAAGCGGAAAATCAAGAAAGTTTTCCAACTTCCCAGTTCTAATGTGACATCTGTAATAGCATAAAATACATGAATAACTTGTGGTAATTTTTGAGTCACTTTTTGCATAGCAACATTATCATGCACCGAAGTACCATACGTGTACGAAGTACAATCTAGATTGTTAATTATCTTCAACGACAATCGGATGATAATATTAGCCACTAATAATTATAATAACTACAGTAATGAGCAGTGCCACTAGTATACAGTTCAAGGGTATGCTAAGTAGTCCTGATTTCATTTTTCTCTTGATTGCAATTTTTGGAGAAGCTCATACGTTTATTTCTCTTGATTCTTCCCTACTTCAACCTTGTTGTAGATAATGAACCTAAAGCGCTTTGGGTTCAGCATTTTCTTCTACCTTTGAACGTTGTTCGCACTTACATTTTGCACATTTCCAGTTCTCAATTTCATTGCGCATATTGCAACCTCTACAAATCTAATGAAATGGTCGCACACTACATATCAGTTTTATGATAATAATCAAAAACTTACCACCTTACCTGCGTTGCATTCGGCCCATTTATCTGTGTCTTTCTCTTGAATATATATTTATATATACACAGGTTGTCACGAACAACCTGGTGGACTTTGAAATCGAATAACTTCTAAATTAGTCAAGCTAGAATGGTGGTTTTTACATACGTTTTAGAGGTATCCTCTTTTATTTTTTACAAACTTATCTTTGTGTTATAGCAGCTACCAAACAGATACGTACAGATTAGTTACGTCCCAGTACTTAGTCTCTCCGTTTATGGCTTGTCTAAGTAAACCGATAGTGGTATACGCTTGCCCACCAATTTCCCTTTTTATGGCATAGAAGGCCCCGTAATCATACAAACCTAGATCGGAAGAACCATAGATTTAAAGCCAACGTCAAATATTATTTTACACAATCCAGTACCTGACTGAGGCATGCCGTTAAAACCTGATGTTGTCATTAAGTAACCCAACTGCGTGCTTTCGATTGTCATGCCAACGGTCCACAAGCCTTTTGCAGAACTCGAAATAGCCGGCTGCATCCATTGTTTTAGTTTCGGCGAGGACCTCGTAGTAACCGATGCGCCTGATGTTCGTTTAGAGTATTACTATCACTTTACGCGCGATCCTATTCGTCGCTGCTACTGAACTCAATTTCTCTCTAGGGCGACGCCATTCCCGATACCGGTTTTTCTTCAGCTGGCGGTAAAGAGTAAACCATGCCTCTATTATGGGGATCGTGTGTTCCAAGCGGGTTTTTTGTTGATTTAGGTCCCGCCAATTGTAAGAATGAACCACATGCATTTCCAGTTGATCTGGAGTCCACTCATGGGGGACGACTCATTGTTCACTCAATTTTACGCATTTTCAATATTTAAGTCATAATGCTGTATTATTGGCCTGCCCGACAGCGGCAATTCATTCTTGACCTTCGGGTTTCGAAAATGATTTCAGCGCCCCAACGATCTTGACGAATTGTTTGTGTATTCACGTATTGTTTCTTCGCTTAAGCCCTCCTTGTCTAACCTCTTTAGCAGGGTCCGATAAAATTCCGCAGTGCTGTAGCCGTCGAAACAAAAAACTTGACTCTCAGGCGTTGATTTTCAAAACTGAAATATCATTCTTCTTTAATTCATTTCTCCTAGAGTTTCGAGAAACTGGAGTATTAGCCAGCTATTTTATTTCATTCTGCCAAATTCGCTTGTAACAGTCTAATACTTCAATTAGGGAATTCGTCAAGGAAACAATGTCTTCGCGGTTAATAATTTGCATTTTTTTTTTGCAAATTACTGATTAGACCACTGCTGGTCCATCGAGCCCTACAGAACAATAATAATTATGCTGACTTGTACTGTTTGATACATTTTGTTAGCGTATCGAAACATTTGTCTATAATTTTTTAACTCATTTTGTGAAAGAAGTACTCGTTTATTTCAGCAAATAAACACACACGGGCACATTTAATATACGTTTATCAGACACCGTCATCAGACAATTCCTGTCTGTACAAAACTCTTACAATACACATTTTGGCAATGCTCTGTTTAATCTTAGGCGATAGTATATTTTCAAACAAATCGTGTCTTACAATAACTGGCATGAATTTAGGCTAGAGTACTAAGACCTACGCTGATATTTTATGGTTAGATATGTAATGCGTTACGCTAAAGAGGATGCAACAAAAACTGGCTCGATAGTGTAGTCTCGCCAGTTGTTACGTCGATTGGTGTCTAGGCATCGCTAAAGCTCCATTTTAGTTTACCTGTGGTTTTTATATTTAAATATGTATCCCTAATGTGAAATATTATTTTCGCTTTTACTGTTAAAACAACGAAAAAATCATGCCTGTCCCCAAACTGACTTACTGTTGTAGGGTATGAAGGCTTCTCTTTAAAATGCGCATGAAGGCTAAAGAAACGATTCAAATTACGCCCGCTTGATGAGCGGCGAAAAGCTATATATTCGAGAAGTGAGGTAGCTATCCTAGAAATATGTGTGATATACCTGACGCAGCGAATGTATGTATTTGCAATTCATAAAATGCAAAAATAATGTAGATATGCTTGTTTGCTCCATTTGCGAATAATAACTGTTATTACTGTAATTAAATTATAACGGTTTGTAATATCTGGCGGCATGTATTAGGAATTGCTTGTCTTAATTCTATTGAAAATTTAGGACGTTGGACATAACCCTAAAATCGCGACTGGTTAAAGTACCCATTGGCTACAAGCTAATTTCAGCACAGAGCCCAAAAATAAAAATGACGACATGTGATTTAAGACATGTTTATTATTATACGACTAACTTCAGAGGCAGCTGGGCCAAGATGTGTGTGACCGCACAGCTATTGGAAGATATACACCTAATGTAAGAGGGTTCATTGACCTTCTTTTCTCCTGGTAATCTTTTTTTACTGTTGTTTTAAGAGGTACCTCTGTATTCCTTCACGTGAACGAGGATCCAGGTCGGGACCGCAAAAATTCCCGCAGTCAGAACGACCCCATGTGCCACTTTTTCAGCGAACGACATCCTGAATATAGACAAAACAAAATATCCAATAAAAACAACGGAGGTGTTAGTATGAATATCCATTTAAATTAGTCGCCTATATATATATATATAGAAAAGCTGTTTCCAAAAATGATTTAATAAACTCTACCCGATAATATGATTGTACTCGGTGTTTTGACAAAACACCGTGTAATATAAAAACTATATTACTAGCACCGTCACTGAAAAGAATCCTAAACATGTTCAAAAACTGTGACGAAATATGCCCATTCCGCATGATCTCATGAGAGATCTATATAACCTTTACAAGCCAACAAGGGCACCTACGTGACATAGAAACATAGAAATATAAGCATCCTTGAAAATGCAGTATCTTAAAACGTAATTGTACATAATTACTAATTAGCTTTACTTACAGGCTGATTAAAGAAGGGTAACTGTATACCAGCACTACTTCCGAACAGCCCCATTATCTTTAAGTTAGGCATACAGGAAGTACAATCCTCTATATTAATGAATATAATATACTTCTAATAATTATAGCAATTAATAATTGTGATCAGTTTTTCATACTTCAATCTTTAATCAGTACTACAATCTTATATTTGATAACGGTATGTTAATTTGTTTGTAAGTTCCAATGTGGAAAACGCCGGCAACCGCAAAAAGTTAATTAAATATATTGTTGGAGAATTCCACGGAGCTAACGCATAGCACAAAAATAGAAAACTACCGAGCATAACCACCGAAAATTTAGATATTTTTACACATCTAAGTTGATCTATAACCAAATTTAAAAGATTGTAAAAAAAAACATTTACGTTCACTAAATCATTACAAATCGTTTAATCAGGTCTAATTGTCTCAACTCGCAAAACAAAGAGCCGATTTATGAGCTGCTGCGCGATGGTAGCATTTTTCTACCGCTTCCTTTAGCGTCAGCCTATCTTGAAAAAGGAAGATGAAAGCATGTGGATAAAAGAATATTAACAGGAGATGCGGTTTTAAATAGTAATTGCTAGCCATTGTGGAAATATGTACTATGCAGCGGCAGTTTTACTCTAAAAATGATTTATCACTTATCTCCAAAATGAATTTGCAGAACTACACAGCTTACCTGTACAGAGGGGGTGACACGGTTAAACGCTGGATCGAGCAGTTTCGCACGCCTTGGCAGGCCAAAGGCGTAAGACGATGGACTAATGGCTGCATTATTTTCGAAGTCGAAGCACACCGCTTTCTTTCGGGACAGTGTTTGCCTTGAGCGTAACAGGGACAATTACAAGGTTAATAAACACAAACAGAACGACGATTCAAGATGGCGTCGCCAAATTGGAAAAGCCTTGTGTATTTGTAGCTTGAATGAACCGATGATCCTCACTGCTATAGCGATCACACACGGGCTGCTAGAATCGTGGATTATTATTGAACATGAGTTATGGTTTAGAGCTGACAGTTTTATTTATTTAAGAGGTAATGTGCGAAGCTTACAACCAGGTAATATCAACAAACGATAGCGTTAAGAAACCATAATAAATTCCTGGAATTTCACATTTGGAAGTGCCAGTAGCTGTCCATTCCATCGGCATGGTGCTATTATTTGAAACGCCAAAAAGAGTCGTTAAAAAAGGGAAAAAGCCACGCACCCATGGAAAAATGTCTACCAGAAGCACAGAACATCAACTGCAAGACGAAAAAACGCTAATATCTACTTGAGTGACATTCAGAGTTAGATTATCAATGTGAAATTGTTTCAGAATAATCCATGTGTGCAGAAACTTTAAACCCAGACAAATTAAGCGAAGATGACCAATGCGAAGGGAAGTTCTATCAAGAAAAATACCCAATTGGACCTTATAACAGTTTCTTCATTATGTGCCAGCGTATGGGCGGACTTCATTCTGCGAATGCTTAAGAGACCCTATCGTCAGACTATTACTAACAGACAAAAGCTTCAAATCTATCTCCAGCCTTGTCTGTTAGGTAGTTTTAAAAAGTGAAACAACTATAGCAGTCAATTGCTAATTGCTCTAATGCCAATTACTAGTAAAGTGAATATGGAACGTACTTTTGTGATCATGATAATGATAATTTATTTCAATACTAAGAACGATGCAACAGTTGTTGCATTACATCCCGAGCCAATGCGGGCACAAATACATGAATACACAACTATATATACAGAGTTTCTGTTATTGTCGATAATCGAGTAAACTGTTGGTGATGTGCTAACTTCTATATCTTTTCACCTCCACTTACTGAGTTTCTTAGTAAACCAATGCGTCCATATAGATATCTTGATTTTTTTTAATGGTCTGTGTGCTTTTATTCGATAGATACACATAACACAAGTAATACGATGTTCCAATTTCAGCCACTAATACGTTGTTACAGATTTAGAATATACTACGACTTGCAGTTTTCTTAACCGCCGGATATAATTCACTCAAAAAATAAAACGCTGTCACTTACCAGACAGCGAATAATAAAGTCGGTCCGGTATATAAACTACGAGCTAAATCTAAGTGAAACTGCCAAACTGTGCCAATAGACCCAGCGCTCACCAGCAGTAAGCGTTTTCGCCCGTCATATAGCGTTGTCATTGCTACTATTAGTACAGTGTCGCCATGAATTTCGATCCTATACTGATTAGAACTTGAATTCCTTGTATTTCTTCTTCCCTCCAGCAGCGCCAGCCTCTTCGCGAGCTTTCCGCTTGTTTTTCTGTTTTGCTGCATGTTCAGCCACCATGTCAGAAAAGTCTTCTTTAGCCAGCTGCCCTTGTTGTTCGCGGACGGTCTGTTCGTATCTGAAAGAAAGCAAAAGATAAATTACTAAACCAACAGTCGCCCATATACCGCTAATGACTAGCTTACAAAATTGTCTATATTGGATATAACACAAACTCTATTCATATCACCACCTCTTTCGAGACCTTTTCAATGCACCGACAATTCTAAATCGAGCTTCTATAACCTGTTATGTGAGACTTATACGTTTTCTTTGTATAAACCTTCTTCCTCTAATATACACACACCTATAAAGAGGTGAAAAGGATGACATATATTAAGATATTATTTTGGTATTTACTTCATTACTCACCTCGCTGCCATGGCTCCAGGATCCATCTCCAGTTCACTGGGATCCAGTGCCAACTCGACTGGCGCCTTTTTGCCTGTCGGTAAAGCCCCTGCTGTTCCTGGTATCTCGTACGTGTGAGCGGAGCCCATCATTGCATGTCCCAGACGTTCATTTCTTCGCTCACCAAGCACCGTGTACAGCTGTGGTACCTGATCACCCATTTCCATTTCCGCTTCAATTTTGCGTTTTCGCAGTTCAATAGCGTCGGGCGTTTCAAGGCCGGCGTGACTAAGTGAACTTTGCAATCCAGATGGAGTTGCCAGGCCTTCAGCAGGAGTTACCAGACCAGTTTCATCAGGCTCTTCTGCCGCATCGCTGTCCTCATCGGAATCGCTTTCCTCTTCCTCGGATGACGCTTCTAAAATGAAATATATTAAATAAAACAAATAAAAGTCAAATAATTGGGAATTTCCGAACTTCATATCGTACAGCTTCCGGCCAAAGAATCCGATAAGACTATGTTAGTCTCATTAATGGTACATTTTATTTGAATTATTATTTTCAAAGCAAATCTAGCGGTTTTGGTGGTATGGTGTACTGGGGGTATTCGCTATACCGAAAATCTCTGTTGCGCTAGAGGGGAAGAAACCATGACATCACTGGTTACGAAAAAAACTGTGGGGAACCAGCGGGATACTGTATGTAGGTCAGATACAAGGCGAGATTGTGTACAATGTTTATCATCAATTGACACAAATGACTAGCACTAAACACTTAATAATAAAAACACAAATTTAAGGTAAATGTTTTAAAAATTGCAAACAAATACAGCAAAAGCCATTCGCGTTTTATTACCTTCGTCTAGTGTACCAAAAAGATACATCTTGTCGATATCCTGCTCAACCTGTGCGACACCACCGTCTTGGCCAGTTACGCCAAATACGTCTCCATACAGTGGTTTGCCGGTTTCATCCACAGGCGGTTTACCCCAACCGCCAGCATGGTATCCGAATGAACAACCCTCCGGAATAGCCGCATTCAAACCTTGAAATTCATACAATGTTACACAGGGGAATAACTTTATTGGAACTATTGTATGTGTATGCTTCGGTCATTTAAAAAAATAAGTTGAGTATATACCGAAACGGAGGAGCGATATATACATGTTAAGGGCGCAAATACCCTACGAGTACCATAGTTTATAGTGATAAACAGTACGTTACCAACTTCTTAGAATATTATACTTGATTACAACCTTAGCACGATAATCACTTACCAGGTATCTTGAGATTAGGATATGAGGGTGGAGGGCCATATCTTTGCATGGCGATTAACCAAGGCGGAGGGCATTTGTGAGCGTTTGGTCCTGTTGGCATGCCGAGAGCTGTTCGTAGTTCGTCAGACAATTCTCCCGGCTTTTTCTCCTTTAAGCGCGTTTCGAATTCTTTCCCTTCGTAATAGAGGTCTCCGTGCATCGACAGACGTGGCTTCTCTTGCCATTTGAAAAAGGCGTCGTGGAGTTTTTGGTAATCAATATCAATTTTGCCCATTTTAGGACGAACTTTTTCGCGCTGTTTTGATTTGAGGGTCTTTGCCTCTTCCTTTTCTTGTAGCGCAGCCCGCATTTCGCAAATACCTGTTCGCTTGATGAAGTCAGGAAGATCAAATGGTGGTTTTTCAATACCGCGTTTACCTTGCAGGTATTTTCTTTTAAAACACCAATGGCGAGGTACCGGTACAGAATTGCGCGTTGCCTTCAACGTCAGCAAGAATACAGGATCTTTCGAGGTGACATCGTGCATTTCTACCAGCTCGGGATGATGCACTTTAATCTTTAACTCAGCAACCGACATTCGCGTTAGCTGCTTGAGCTTCTTTTTACTCAATTTGGGCGTATCGTCGTCTTTCTTCTCTTCATCCTCGTCTTCGTCGTCGGTTAAGTTCGCTGGCTTTTTGCGTTCCGATAGCTTTTGAGTGATTGCGTCTGGTACGGAGTCTTTGACGTCTTCAGTTATAACTGGTTCCTCAAACTTGAACTTTTCAAACACCTTTGAGAATTGAAACCACGAGAGGTCTTTCTCAACCTGATCCGGCACATAGTCAATTTCAACGTCGGTGCGCTCACTGTCGCGCGCACTTTCACCATCGCTACCTACAGCCTCCTTTTCAATAGTTCTGATGATTCTTCGAGTTTTCTTTCGGCGCTTTTTCTTCTGATTCTTAGTCTCGTTGGCTTTCTTTTCTGGCAACTGGATGCCCTTCTGCTGTAATACTTCTTGTACATTGACCGTCTTTCGTTCACGAGCTCTGCGTGCCTGACGCTCGACAGATTCAAGAATCTCGAGATTTTTGCGGACAACTTCATCCATGGAGCCATACGACTGGCCAGCGCTTTGTTGTGATTCCTCTTCTCCGCGAGATTCACGATCGGATGCGAAGGCGCCATTTGAGTTTTCTTCCTGAAAAATTGCATAAAAAAGTAATATTCTCAATATAAGTATTTGGGTATTAGTAATTAGTAGTTAGACAAACATGCATTGCATGGAAGTCTATTGAAATATTGTACAAACACATTCATCAACAAAGGTGAATAAAAGGTGACGTAACAACAACTACCCACGTTTCCTGCTCAGGGCCTTTTATTTAAAACCTTTAAAGCTTTAACTTATTTTAAGTTAAAACTTTACATCGAACTGAACAGAGAACTATAACGATGCAAAATTCATTTACTTTGATAGTGCAGCGATGCCCAACAACTTACATTTGCCGAATATGTTCTAAAATCACTAAGTCGTGGCAAAACAACTTACATTTGCCGAATATGTTCTAAAATCACTAAGTCGTGGCATAACATGCAGTACGTGACATTCCATGGATATGTATAATAAACTCGTAATGCAATGACGTATATAAAGGAAGGAGGTTTGTAAAATAATTGATTCCATTTAAGGTCATTAGTTCTATCCAATTCATTATATCTATCCAATATCTATTTTCTGTCAATGACTACTTTGACTGAAATCGCAATGTATAATCGCCTCCTTAATAAGCCAATATAAAAATAACAATTCTATTGATTTTTAATAATAATATTAATAATGCACCCTTCAAACCACTAGCTTTAATCTAGTATTTGGAAGTAACATCGTAAACCTTCTTATACATGTTTAATACAACAAATTTTTGGCCTAACTGTGACAAACGGTTTTTTGTTCCTCTAGTGCTTAAATGAAATATGTGAAATGTGATATCAATCTCAATTATCGGTGCCCTTTTCTACCAGCCAAGGGTTATAAATGGCAAGTTAAGATATTTTGGCAGACGTTTTTGCATTTTTTCCGTATACTAAACGGGTTAGTCCGCTATTTTCAATCGGCTAACGCTTACGCCTGTATTGTAACATATTTTTTAGGCTCTATGTTGTAATAAGATTAGCGCATCTCAATAAGAGCGCACTAAGCGCATTCCATTAAATGTATCAACAAAAAAATGCTATTAAAATATCTGGCTGCAAGAACATACTGCATGCTAAATCTAAGTCTCATCGTAATACTATAAGAATCCGTATAATACAGAATCATGTGATTCACAGTTTGGACGAATGTTTTCTGAGCAGCTATTAAACAAAGGCGGACCTTTAGTACCATTCCGGTCGATAAAATCTCCATCTTTTGTCTCACAGGTTCTTTCTTTACTTCGGTGGAACTAACATGTCACTTGTTTATTTTAGTCTAGTAAACTGTGTATATACCAACCTGTCGTTGATGTCTGGGTGGCGTTTGCACAGTATCGTTTTCCATCTCATCTCGATCTGGGCTCATAGGCAAATCATGATGTTCTTCGTAGTGATCATCAGCTCTAATGTCTCCATCTTCGTTTGACGGTGAATCCCGGCTATCGCTACTTTCCTTACTTTCTTGTAATTCCCTCGATACGACATCTTGAGAAGGTTTAAGCACTTGGGTAGCCCCTTCAGCGCCAACATCAACAGCAGTACTATCCTGTACATCCATTTGCTCTTCTGGACATCGCTTGTCGACATTCCCTACTCCACCTTCAGTACTCTCCTCGGCTTCAAGTTGTGCGGGTACCACCTCATTCGGGTGCGAGTCATTTTCCGCCGATGGAATTCGTGGTCCAGGTGATGCCAGAGAGGGTGGCTGGGCCTCTTCTTCATCAAACCGTTGAGGCTCACCCAGAGAGGGCGGTTCAAGCTCTCCCGGGGTAGATGGTTTTGGCTGCTCTGGTGAAGACTCTTTAAAAGGCTCCTCTAAAGGCGGTGCAATATCCACCTCAGAAGTTGTTGCGAGCTGTTTCACATATATACCGTCTGGTGCTTCAGCAAATACAGGAGCAGGTATTTCTACAGCCTCCAAAGCTGGTTGATCGACTTGCGGTTCAACGCCTGGCGGTATAGGCGCCTCAGCCTCCATGTTCTCCACAGGGTACGCTACTTGCGGCAGCTCCGCAGATAAATTTTCGCTTAACTGAACTTGCTCCTCCAGTTGCTCAAACTGCCCAGCTGATGAAAATTCTTCTTGTACTGCATATTGCTCAGGTATATCCTGAGATGAAGTTTCGCCGAATCCGGAGTTCCCGTCGGACCCTTTCGTACTGCTACTGTCTTCTCCACCAGCTGACGTCTGCGAGGCCTACAGAGAAATAAAGATAAATTATCATCTTTTATTATTACGTTAATCCTAGCAACAATTTTGCTGTTAATGGTATGGTATTGAAAATTTTGTTGTATGGTCCTGTAGTAGCAGAAGACCCTCCACTCTGACATTCGCACAATGCTCCACCCGATTAAACAATAAAACCAGATTCATAGACAACATAAATAAATGAATCACAGTGCTATTATTCTGTGTATAATGTTATTGTTCCACTAATACTACTTGTAATTAAAGACATACTCATTCACCTATATATAAACAATTGCTTAGTACTGTGAACTTTTTAAGTTACGTATATGCACAATCATTATATGATTTTAGCTGTTCACAAGCCTTTCCAAAGTCGTTAAGTAATAAAAAATAGAAGTTTACCCACCTGATCAATTAGAAATTGTTTAAGTCTTCCAGCCAAGTCTGCTTTTAGACCTGGAAGTCCACAGGAAAAATAACAATTAGTATGTGTGTATTCAAAAAATGGCCTAATATCATAGAAGTCACTGGACAGACTCGCTAAAATTCACATTGTTCTCAATAAAAATAAATATACGTACATACATTTTCTTGGATTTTAGTCAATTTGTTACATATATTTTCTATTAATCTAATTTTTCACTGCCACTGCAGGTCAATGGTGACGGCAATGGTTTTATTCTAAAAATACGAAGCCTATTATGAGTTACTAAACTTATATAGAAATTAACTAAAGTTTCATTAATTTTGAGATATGTATTAATTTACAATTCGGTCAAGTTAGCATGTAAATTCACTGAAATGTTTTGTGAAACTAATTCTATGTTGTCATTATTTACCACGCCCGCCATTCAGTATCGTCAGATCTTCGCTGCTGTCACACAAGAATTCTGTGAGATTTTTTAACAGTTCACTGCCATTTTTTAAATTCCTAACTTCCCTTGGGATAAATTATTACGAAGTTTCTTTCGTGTAAAGCAGAATTAACGTAACTGTTTCGAGATAACAATACATATTTGTCCGTTCACACTATAAACTCCCCTGCTCCTATAACAACCGACCTGCTGTCGACAGCCCAATGTCGCTTAGGCGAGCTTTCAACTCTATCACCTTGAGCTTGTCAACGGCAGCAAGCTCCTCAGCACTCATCGTAACTTTACTGATAGACTTTTCCTGCTCATCCAATATAGCGACGAGACACGTGGTAAATCACAACAAAATCAGCTAGTGAACACTGTGCATCAGTTCGTTTTTGGGCATCACGGAACAAACACCACCGCACCGCCGAAAACAAAACATCACCGGTAAGCAGACGACTATGATGATTGTTTGTATGGAGAGTCTTGCGGCTGGGGCTATCGAGAGTGGCGTACAGAATAATCTGCAACTGCTGTCCCGACTTTCCAGCCGGACCAACGGCGCGTTTCTAATATACATAAGTAGCACGGGGAAAAATGATATAAGAGTGGCAGTTGTAACCTAAAAAGTAAAACGATTCATTAGCTTTCAATGAATGTATCAAGAAGGCGGCCTACGCTTTTTGCTTACATAGATAATTAGTCTAGAAGAAAAATGAATGCATTTTTGGAAGGAGTTGTCATTTCAAAGAGATCATTTATACATATATAGGGCTATTTGAAAGATCAGATCGTTAGAAAAGTACATGGTAATTTTGCGTTTACTGATTTTTAGAAAAAAAGAAGTTGAGGAATCTATGCGCACACTCGGAAAGAAGCGCTAAACGGCGCACCTGAAGAGAATCGGAGGTCCGGATGAGCGCCATGAACAGAAGTCTATCAGGGATAAAGCTGCGATGAAAATGGAAGATGAACCGCTGTTGGTAGAAAAGATAATACTCTTCAGTTTCTGCTTCAGCTCCCGTGTTTCAATACGATGTCATCGATCTGAAGCAAACTATTAAGATAGCGGTTAGTTCAACGAGTCCTTTTAAGACGTCTTCAGCGTGTTAAGAACGGTTCGTTTAGCGAGTCCTACGGTGTGAGTGTATAAGCAAGCCGTAGAATTAAATATAAATAGGGCTCACAGTTTCCTCTGATCCGTCAAGGGAGGTCTTTAGTTCACCTATGTAACGAGAACTTGGCCTAATGCGATTAAACTGTTACAATATCAAACTTGAGTCCTATCAAATCAGCGAAGCCGACATGACCTTATACATATGCCCTAAGCGGAAGCAAAGATCTGGTCGTGGAGATAATTGAAACAGCTTTAATCAGAGTTCTCATAGGCATAACATTGTAGTCCGTACATTAGGATCCTTTTACAAATATACATTAAAAAGCTAAACACTTCCTTTAACAGATTTAGTGAATAGTCGCGACAGTAAAATGTAAGATCTTAATAAGGTCTCAAATGTGGTAATTGAAAAAAATGAACAAACTCTTGGAGTTTTGATCACATTGATTGAATCATTATAGAGTCTCTCAAGCGAGTTATTGTGGTTGATTCAGCTTTGTTCCATAACCAAACGGTTTTTTAGAAACAAAAGATTACTTTCGCATTCCAAGCTGCTTCATCAAAATAAAAAGGTATAAATCATAACGGCTCGCGTCCACGTGAAATAGAAACAGCTGTACCAGCTGTTTTATATGTCATTTTGCAACCTTCTAGGTACTTATTTTATCATAGAGTTTATGTCGTGTGAAGGCGGCCACCAAAAGTTGATCGATACAACAGAACGCCTCTGTCGTTTTCACGGGAGCAAATCCAGTTTCTCACTGTGACTATTAAGTGTTATCTTTTTGGACTAAACGCTGCGCATTTAGCTACATTGATGGTACTAGTACTTGATATACCGCACGTTTGTCTCAAATAATAATATTCACAGTAGAACTGCTGTTTAGGGCGAGCATTGGTTATGGAAGCATTATATTTAGTACGGTTCTCTTCAAGTGTACCATAATTGCGAGCGGAGCTGTCGTGTCCAAAGGCAGCACCTAAAAGCCTAACACGATACCACGGTGATATCACAGAAAGAATTGTAACTTTCAGTATTATGATGTAAGTTATATTGAAAAAGAAATCACTAGCACTTTTTTCCTTTTAAATAACCGATTTTACTCAAATCTGCAATGAAGCTGTCGAAACTTTTTCTAAACTAATATTTATCATCATATACAACTCATAGGTAAGATATTTTTCTTTTGAATTCCGTATTTTGATCTGTTTTGTCAGGATAAGTCCGTTGGGAACTTTTTATAGGAAGTTTTTCTTTTACAAAACTTAAGTGCATATGTGCGTTAAGTTGATTATAGTTTGCAATTTTTTTGTTGCAAGCTGCGACCTCTTAGGAGCAATACTTCAGTAATAAGTCGTTACTGGTTTCTGAGTTTCTAATCCAACCATTGTTCTGTACAGTAGAAGACGTGGAATTCGTCTTCCGTTCCTGCCAATTTGTGCGTTGGTATTGTCATTCTCTCCGGTCGTTTTCTGTTGCTGTCAGAGTAAGTGAAGCACTAACGGAAAATGCGCCGCGACTGAAATAATCCACAGGAACGACAAGAAGACACAATTGAGGGCGCAGGGAATCCAGAGTCATTATTGTTGTTTCGACACCGCCTTGAATTATTTCCATTCTCCTGTCGTGTGAGTGATCGACACAGTCGGATATCGCGCGCTGCATCTTTGTCTTCTTCACTGAGGCGAGCAGCCAATCCCACTCGCTAAAATCGGCCGTTTTTCTTGACCGTTCGCATTAATATGATGAATCCTCTGACGGCTGTTTTTAATTCACTTGCCTTACACCTGTATTCTTTGCCGTTCAGGGCCTGCTCAGTTGCACATTTCTTCATTCGTAACAAGTTTCCAGTCTCCGTATCCCCAGTCAGTCTTCAGGCTAAGCTCCGCCGGTGGCCGACGGACAGCCGCGAGAAGGATAGGCTGAGCTATTTCAAGCTCGATTCGATTAAGCGGAAGACCGGCAAGCACGTTCCCCTTCTAAACAGAACAAATACTGTTGCTGATACTAGTACCGAAACAATCATATTATCGGATTCACGGAAGCCGTTGCTTAAGTGCCAAATACATGCATTAGCGCCTTATTGTGGCGCATTACATTTTAACAGAGACACTCGTGGCAATGACCCTTCGTCGTAAGTTTCAAAGCTCACATGTGCACTGTCAGGTTCGCAACACGCGTCATAGCGGCTCTGAGCAGATGTTGCGTAAGAAAGAGCGCAAGCTCCTCAAGTCGACTCATCCGCACAATAACGTACTAATTAGGTCGCAATCCTATATGGCGGGTTTTTTCTAACTCTGCAACCAGGCTCTAAATAACCAACTCCGGTGAATAGGTGAACCGCTTCAAAGTAACGCAGATGCTTACGCACGTTCCTCAGGTTTACCCAGCACAGAGCAGAGGTAGGTATACGAGAGCCTATCATACGACCTGTTGTGATTACAACGTGTAAAAGCAAAACCGACGACCTTTTTTATTTATTATTACGACCTTATTGAGTATTTAGAGCGTTATGAGAAAGCGGAACCAGAAGCGTAATCGCCTTGAAGATTGAATCCCATCGACTTCAGCTGCCGCTCAAGTGACTTATCATCAACAACCAGAACCCGATTAACCGCGTTAATTAGCAATAATCTCCTGTCTTTTCACCAGTTAGTCTGCCTGTAGATGTTGTGCCATGTATTTACAAAGCGTGTGTTTTACTACAATAACATCATTGTCAAGTCACTGATCGACTGAAGTAAGTGGTGGCATATTTTAAATGGATAACGGTATTTTTATTTTGCACTTCAGTCAAGTTCAATTATCTTATTGTTTTTATATTGGAACAGTCCAGTATTCTTTGAAAAACTTCATCATCTAGCGGCAAAAAACGCGATCAATGCCTTCGTAAAAGGTGTTTCTGCTGCTTCAGTATGCTCAGACGTTTCTCAAGGTGCTAAGGAGTTATGCCTATCTTATTCAAATATAGCTTAGATTGTTAAAGTATTTCAATTAAATATTCAATTCTGAACAAAAACAATCCTTTATCTAAAAGAAGTAGGCGTTGTACTATTTGTCATTATAAATTCCGTCAAAAAGGACCGAGAATTGTGTTTTATTCTCCCGCGGAATATCGGGTGTCACTCAGGCGGGTAGAATCAGCAGATAGTTCCGCGCAACAAAATAGTACTTACATCTGATCGTTTCTTTTCCGTTTTTATTCAAATAAATCTTAATCAATTAGCTGAAACTGTATCCGAAAATCTAAATTTGCGCACATCTTTAATTATCAAATAAGTTCTGCCCGATCACGGTTTCTTTTCGAAACGAAATAGAAGAAAAGGTAGACCAACGCCACGAAGAAGCGCAACACAATGAGTGTTAATCGGGTAGCGAAACCATGCTGGTCCAGCCTTTAAGGTGACGAGTCATTCTTAGAGTACGTAATCGAGTTGAAAACGTGTTTTTTTGAGGTAGTCATCGTAGGAAATATGGTCAGTACATTTGAAGCGGGAATGGCATTTTTGCAAAGACAAAGGCCAGGGCCGAGCACACCGTTCTCAGCACTTACTTTTTACACGACTAGTGCGAAAGAAAAATTTAAGTGAATCACTTATTTCTACCATCGCCTTTGTGTTTTAAATACTTTAGCAAGTCAGCTTTTTTGCAAACATGCGTTTCGTACGAAATTCACACGAGCGAGATTTGGTATTGGGGTTGATCGCATTCGTTGTGTATTACTTTGTTTTGGGCATACTATTCGATTTAGTTGGCGCGCCAAGCTCGTCGGGGTAGGCGTTCAGCTCAGTACAACGGGTGATGATCTCGGGACATGTGTCATATGCTACTGGTAACTATAATGAAATAATTCATATTCGATTTATACGTTTGACAAAGGTTCAAATCACAATTTGAATAAAGGGCAACTGGTAGCACACACAGCAGACAGAATCGATGTTTATACCATTCATATCAGTACAATCAGAACGAAAAAACACTAGAATATCTAGAAGTTGCATCGCGCACCCTATTTGGTCGCTTAAATAAGTCCGCATAACTGGGCGCGAGCGCCAAAACCGTTTTCCCTGCAAAGTTTCTCTGAGACCTCTCCGGCATGCGCTACTGACGAATCGGAGCAAGCGTTATCGTGGCAGGCGTGACGTACATGACCAGGTGCGCACATGAAGAGTGGCGTTAATCATCTGTTAACGAGGCTACGAGTGTGGCTAGTAAAACTGGTTGGAACAGAAGCAAAGAGTCGTTCACGGGCGACGGGGTCTATAAATGCCGTATGAATGTAAGTCAAGCTAGTGGATGCAGATCAGGTTCAAACATCCGTCCTTAAACCATGTCCTAGCAATGAAAATCATACTGTCGTCATCAGTGCCGATGGGCAGACAAAATGCAT